GCGACGAGCGCGTCTTCTTCTACAACCCCACCACTCGGCTGTCCATGTGGGACCGCCCCGACGAGCTGCAGGGACGCGCCGACGTGGACAAACACATCCAGGAGCCCCCGCACAAGAGGGGCCCGGACGACGCCAGGAGAACAGGTGCGACTGCCTCCTGCGCGACTGCCTCCTGCGCGCGGGCGGCTTTTTGTAACCGTGCGCGTGCGCGCCTGCCCAGTTTTCAGCAAGGAGGAGCCCGAGGCGTCCCCGGCCGCCGACGACGCCCACGACGAGGAGCCCTCCAAAGCCAAGAAGAGAAAGTCAGTGGGCGGTTGGCCGTATTTGCCGGCGTTCGCGCGCTCACCGTTTCCGCCACGCAGGAAGGACGACGCCAACGAGGCGGACTCGGAGAAGGAGGCGGTGATGGAGGCGGAGATCCGGGCGGCCCGCGAGAGAGCCGTGGTGCCCCTGGAGTCCAGGATGACGCAGTTCAAGGACATGCTGCTGGAGAGGGGGGTACGTGGGGGGGACGCGCCGTCCGACCGAGCAAAAGCCAGCGCGAGAGCGTGGGCACCTTGGCTTCATGCGCGCGCGTGCTGGCGATCACATCGAGAGTCTTCCCGAAATGACCGCTCGGCGGGAGAAGCGACCAGTTGCCGTCTTCCGCTAGGCCGAGCCTTCTCCTCCCCGCCGCCGCCGCCGCCGCGGCCGGCTCTTAGCAGCTCCTCCGGGAGAGCCCCGTTTGGACCGGACTCTCAGCCCCTCATCCGGGGAAATGAAATCAGAAGAGCGGGGCAGCCCTCTCAGCCTTTTTTTTTTTTTTCCTTCTTTCTTCTTCCGCCCTCGTCGTGTCACGCGCGCGCAGGTGTCCGCGTTCTCCACGTGGGACAAGGAGCTGCACAAGATTGTCTTTGACCCTCGATACCTTCTGCTCAACCCCAAAGAACGCAAGCAGGTCAGTCGCCCGTCGTCGTCGTCGTGGCGGCGGCTTCGCCTCCCGCCCGGTTCCACGTTGTCGGCGCGCCTGCAGGTGTTCGACCAGTACGTCAAGACCAGAGCGGAGGAGGAGAGGAAGGAGAAGAAGAACAAGCTGATGCAGGCCAAAGACGACTTCAGGAGGATGATGGACGAGGCCAAGCTGACGGCCAGGTGAGGAGGCCCGCTCCGGGGGGCGGGGGGGGCCGTCCGGCGACGCGCGCTCCAACGCCCGCGCCCTCTTCGCAGGACCACCTTCAGCGAGTTTGCCGTCAAACACGGCCGAGACCCTCGATTCAAGAGCATCGACAAGATGAAGGACAGGGAAGCCATCTTCGTCGAGCACCTGGCGGCCCTGAGGAAGCGAGACAAGGACGACTCCAAGTCCCGAGGGGAGAAGGTAAGGAAGCCCGCCGACCCGCCGCCGAGCGAGCGAGCGGCCGACTCACCGCAGCCCGCGTGCGCCGCTTGCGGCAGGTGAGGCAGGACTTCTTCGAGATGCTGAGCGACCAGCACGTGGAAGGAGGCCAGCGCTGGAGCAAAGTCAAGGAGAGGATGGAGACGGACCCCCGCTACAAGGCGGTGGAAAGCTCCGCCCTCAGGGAGGAGCTCTTCAAGCAGTACCTGGACAAGCAGGCCAAGGTCGCCGCGACTTCCTTTTCAAACAACCGCGCTCCTTCTTTCTTTGCCGATGCGTTTCGGCTTTTGGGAGGCTCAAAGCCATCCGGGCCCCCGTCCTCGGTGTTGGCGAGGGCGGGGGCGCGCTCCCGACACGCTTGCAGATAGCGACTCGGTTGAACGCGCTCCGAATCTCGACGCCAATGTCGGGACGGCCTCCTCGAGACTCGAGGAGCGGCCGCGCGAACGGCGCACGCTTGGTGTTCGCGTTCTCAGCGGGGGGGGGATGTTTGTTTCTGTTTCCGTTTGTGTTTGTGACCGGCCGCGGTCGTCGTGCAGAGCCTGGACTTGGAGAAGGAGCGCGAGCTGGAGCGCCAAGCCCGCATCGAGGCCAGCCTGCGGGAACGCGAGCGCGAGGTCCAGAAGGCCCGATCGGAGCAGACCAAAGAGATCGACCGCGAGCGGGAGCAGCACAAGCGGGAGGAAGCCATCCAGCACTTCAAAGCGCTCATGTCCGACATGGTGAGAGGCGAGCGCGAGCGCCACCCGACTCCCGCCACCTCTTTTGTCTGCGTTTGGCCGGCAGGTGCGCTCGTCGGACGCCACGTGGTCGGACACGCGGCGGAACCTCCGCAAAGACCACCGCTGGGAGTCGGCCTCGCTTCTGGAGCGCGAGGAGAAGGAGAAACTCTTCAACGACCACGTGGAGGCGCTGGCCAAGAAGAAGAAGGAGCACTTCAGGCAGCTGCTGGACGAGACCACCGCGGTGAGCCCGTGTTAATGTCGAGATGCCGGTGGGGGGTCTCGCTCTCGCTCGGGTCAAAAGCTCTCGACTCGATGGTGACACGCGCGGTTCATTTTGCAGATCACGCTGACGACCACGTGGAAGGAGGTCAAGAAGGTCATCAAGGAGGACCCTCGCTGTATCAAGTTCTCCTCCAGCGACCGGGTAAGGCGTCGCTCGCGCACGCTCTCCTCAATGTTCTCGACACGTCTCGGATCCGCTCCGAGATCCAGGGGGGGCCGACTCTTGCGTTTCATTTCAACGCGAAGGCCAAAGTCTCCCGTTGGACTGAACGCTTCCGGCGAGCCCCGTTGAAGCCGCCGGTGGCTGACTCGGTGTCGTTTTGGCCGTCGCTTGCAGAAGCGACAGCGCGAGTTTGAGGACTACATCAAAGACAAGTACATCACGGCCAAAGCCGACTTCAGAACCCTCCTGAAGGAGACCAAGTTCATCACGTACAGGTCCGCCGCGCCGCGCCGCGCCTTCCTTTGCTTGGGGGGAGCCGCCGCCGGTGGCGTGACGCGTCCGCCGTGTCTCTTGCCGCGCTCGCGCAGGTCCCGCAAGCTGATCCAGGAGTCGGAGCAGCACCTGAAGGACGTGGAGAAGATCCTGCAGAACGACAAGCGCTACCTGGTGCTGGAGTGCGTCCCCGAGGAGCGCCGCAAGCTCATCATGTTCTACATCGAGGACCTGGACCGCCGCGGCCCGCCCCCG